TAAATCAGCATATTAGAATGATTTCTGAAGATCATGTGACACTGAAGACTGGAGTAATGATGCTGAAAATACAGCTGCGCATCACAAAAATAAATTACATTTTAATGTATATTAAAATAGAAAAACGTTATTTTACATCATAATAATATTTCACAATATTACAGTTTTTCCTGTATTTTTGATCAAATAAATGCAGCCTTGATGAGTAAAAACATTAAAAATAGTTCTGATCCCAAACTTTTGACTTGGTAGTGTATACATGTAAAATACTCATTGTACTCATTTCTATTCTGAACTTAGAGGTTTTCTATTAATGTGTATATTATTATTTTGTTTTGCATTGTTAGAGGCTTCAAGAGGCTTTTTTTCCCTAAATATTGAAACCTTTCTAATTATAAAACCCTTTGTTCCTTAAGATTCCCAGATTGTGCTGTTCTTCAGAAGATATTTTAGATCAACACACACCTGAAACACATTTTTCATCACTCGTCTCCGATATGAACCAAAGTGGACATTCGCGGTCACAAACTATGGCATTTATTTATTTCAAAGGCTTTTCTGCTTACATTTGTACAATAAATTACACACGGTCCATCTTCTGATGCGCTTAATAAATATGATAGAACTTCCCGTTAAGCTTTGACAATCTCTCACGCTCTCTCTCTCTCGCTCTCGCTCGTCTTTACAAACGTCTCTGGACATTTTTGTAAAGATCCATAAAACTTTACAGTTCATGTACAGACTGGAAAATACACACATTATGAAAAGAAAACGTAGTACAAGCACAGTTTAACGGAAATACAAAAGTATGACGAAAATGAAAAAGTATGAAAAACTGAATCAAAACTAATTTCTATGTAAGAACGAAACCCAAAAAGAACGGATAAGAAAAGGAACATGCTTCTACCTTCCGGATGTACACAGTTAAAACTGTACAGATAAACGTACATGGTATTAACAGTGCAAGATATTAAATAGCTCGACTCAAAACACACTTCTCAATATACAAATGTATAACAAAGGCATACAATTACATACAAGTGCCAAACTCTACAGACCTTCAGGTTATGATACAAGAGGGAGTCTATACAAAGGAAACTCTGGAGATCTTCAGTACATACGAGGCATGTTTTCACCATCGTAACCCTTCCCCTGGTCAGATGAATCCACCGAGCTTTAGAGATGAGAGCCTGGCGTTTTCAAAGTAAAGAGAGCCACATGAAAGATGTAGGATGTAGGATGATGTTCACTGGTTCTCATAGCGTCTCTTGGTTTTATGGCAATAATTCACCCCAAAATGAGCGTGTCATTCCAAACCATTCTGTGAGGTCTTCTAAAATCGTGATGGATATGGAAGCTTGTTTCTGCCATTGAATAAAACAATAAAAATGGTCACTGAGAATTATGAGATTAAAGCTCATGATTTACGTTTTTTATTTCTTATATCTAGCAATTCCGCCGTGTTTTGTCTTTTTCCTCAAAATAGAGTTTGCAACTTGCAATTCAGCCGTTTTTCTTAGAATTCTGAGTGTAAATTTCGCAATTCTGACATTTCTTAGAATTCTAAATTTACATCTCACAATTTTGACTTCACATGGAATTCTGAGTTTACATCTCGCAGTTTTGCGGGGGGGTTTTTCCCTCAAAATTTTGAGTTTACATCTGGCAATTTTGACTTTAATCTCAGATTTATTGGTTTACATCGCGCAATTCTGGCTTTTTTTCCCTCAGAATCCTTCATTTACATCTCACAATTTTGACATTTTCCCTTGGAATTTTGAGTCTACATCTCGCATTTCTGACCTAATTTTCTCATTATTACATTACGCAATTTTGACATTTTTCCTTTTAAGTCTGTGTTTACATCTCACAATTCTGACGTATTTTTCTCTGAATTCTAAAACGACATCTCACAATTCTGACTTTATTTCCCCAGAATTCTCAGTTTACATCTTGCAATTTTTACTTTTTTTGGGGGAATTGTAAGTTTACATATATATATATATATATATATACATATATATACACACACAAAGAGACCCAATTGGCTTTTGAAATTTTTTTTTATCCCGTGGTGGAAACAAGCTTCTTGTTCAAGTTGTTCTTAGATTTGTAAATACAACTATTATGTTGTTTTTGGAGATTGACAGTTCTGGTCACCATGTTATGATGTTGTAGGGAAAACAAACATCTTCTTTTGTGTTTGACAGGAAAATATCATCAAATGGTTTTGGAACAACATGAATGCGTTTTCATTTTTAGGTGAACTATTGCTTTAACCCACAGTCCACCCGTCACTGCTGGCACAAGCCACCAAACCAGCCGACCGTTTCCCACAGTGCCAATGAAGTGCTTTATTACTCCACATCCTACACTTACGGCTTAAGAAAAAGAGGTGGGAAATGGAAATAAGGAAGACATAAACACACAAAGGCTACGTACAGAACAGACCGGCATCTGTCGTTGCACACGATCACAGATGAATCTGCCATTGCACTTCTGAATACTGCCACATTAACCATTAAAACCCCACAGGGTCCGGATAGATTTCAGTAGTAAAATACATTTAGAATCCTGGCTGCCAGAAAAAGTCATCAATTCTCAAATTGCCAACAATCATAATACATGTCACCTCCAGAGATACTGAATGCAAACTGATCAATATATCTTTCATAAGGCTTTCTGAAATCATAAAAAAAAAAACTATTGGAAAAATTGGTTTAACATTCAAAAGGCGTGATCTGAACCAAAACATGTCCAAGTCAAATTTAACCCTAAAACTAAATGTAAAACTTATCTTGCATAATGAAAGCTATTAGACTTTTATCCAATAGTGAAATTTATTTAAATATAATTACTTATTAAATATACAATCCTCATTACTCTCAATGGTGATTCTCATTACTGTAACATGGTATTTTTAATGAAATACTTAACAAATAATTATATACAAAACATTTCACAATGAAACCAATTTTAGGGCCATTGAGATTTTCATTTTGAAATTATTTATATATAATAATCAAAGGCGATTCTTGTTACTGCAACAGTGTTTTTGAAAACTGCATATTTAATAAATTATATATAAAAAATGCCGATGTAAAAGAACTGCACAATGAAACTAATTTTAAAAGCCATTAAGATTTATTTTCTTTGTGAAATTATTTATATACAATTATTTATTAAATATACAATTCTAATTATTCCCAATGTTTTTGTAAAATTACCTTATTTTATTACTATTAATTTATTTTATTTTATTACCTTAAGTATATTTTAATTATATATTTAATAAGTATATATAAAACATTTCACAATAAACAAAAAATGAAACCTATTTTTAGGATCATTAAGATTTAGTTTTTTTTTATTGTGAAAGTTATAATTATTTATTAAATGTATAATTATTATTGTCAGTGGTGATTTTCATTAATACAGTATTTTAAAAAATCATACATTTAACAAATGATATATAACAATTTTGAAACCTGTTGAATCATTTCCATTCTCAGTGATTATCATAAATCGCGTTACTGTAATACAGTATTTTTATTACATATTGTATATATAGAAATCACAATGTGAAATGCATTCATTGTGAAATTATTTACATATGATTATCTATTAAATGAATAATTCTCATTCTCAATGGCGATTCTTATTACTGTAATACAGTAATTAAAAAAATAAATAAATTACAATTATATATAAAAAAAATCACAATTAAAAAATGCAGTAATTACTTTAAAAATTACTATAAAATCAATTACTGTTATGGCTTTGTTTTCTTGGAGCAAAAAAAATGACATATATATATATTTTTTTTTTTCTTCTTTTCTTTTAATTTTAGAAATTACAATTATATATAAAAAAAATCACAATTAAAAAATGCAGTAATTACTTTAAAAATTACTATAAAATCAATTACTGTTATGGCTTTGTTTTCTTGGAGCAAAAAAAATGACATATATATATATATATTTTTTTTTCTTCTTTTCTTTTAATTTTAGTGTGAAATATGACCTGGACAGACTCTTGATCCCTGTTATGATTTAAAAGAAAACCAGACATTCTCTTTAATGAGAGTTTGGGCTCTACGTTATGAAACACACAGCTACCCCTCGATTACAGGTTTCCCAGCATTCCTCACGAGTGCCCGAACCGTAAGGCACTGCAGCGTCGACTGACCGTCAGTGAATACCCATGTTTCTAAACTCCGCCGCCTCTCAAACGGCTCCAGCCCGGGACTGACTTTACACCGGTGGATCTGAGGGTGAAGTACAGTGTTCAGCCACTGCAGATGAAGACAGGATCAAATATTCATAATGGTCAAAAAAAAATGAAGGGGTTGGTTTGTAAAACGAACGAACAAATGGCGCTTTTCCACTGCGTGGTACGACTCGACTCGGCTCGGCACGGCTCGGCTCGGTTTGCGTTTCCGCTGCAGTTCAGTTCCGCTCCTCTGCTATCAACGAGAGGAACGTCTGTACTTCCTACACATCACGTTTTAGTAACGGTACGGTTCACTTGGAACCTCAACCGAGGTGGTACTAAAAAAAGTACCAGGTACCAGGTACTGTACCCAGTGGAAAACCCCCCAAAAGTGAACCGTACCGAGCCGTACCGTACCGTGCCGTACCATGCAGTGGAAAAGCGCCAAAATAAACAAAAATAATCTTTGTCCTGTTGTCAAACCCGACCCACCAGAAAAAAAGTGCACTTGAGTGCAATTAGCTTGCCAAGGAAACAGTTGTCGTTATAAAATAGTGCTTGTTGCTGTCTGGTGGCTATGGTTTCGTCACGTTTGCGCCCCGTCGCTGTGTCTGTCAGTGTCTTTGGGGTGCTGGTTAAGTGCTCTGTGCTGCTCGCCGGCGTCCCGCTGCTGTCACCTGCACTCCACGGACACCCCCGAGGTCTGTGACGCGCCGGACACTGTGGGATCTGCCAGCGTCAGCATGACAGCCGCCGTCAGAGAGCTGGAGGATGGCGAGGACGAGGATGAGGACGAGGCCGCTGCTGCACCTGCCGGGACACAAGAGGGTTCTGGGAACGTCATTAAGTAATCATCAGTGGTTAGAAAGTCTTTTTAAAGCTAGCTGTTCAAACTAGTCTCATACCCGCAGACTCCAGAGCAGCGTTGTTTTAGTATCTCTGAGACACTATTATAGTTTTTTTTTTTAATTTTAGGAATTTTGTTGTGTTTTTCTCATTTTTTTTGTTTTTGGAAATTGGAATTGGAAACTAGCTGAAATAAAGGTTTTTACATTTTATTTCAGTTAACATTTATTTTAAAGGGGTAGTTCACCCATAAATGAAAATTAGCCCATGATTTACTCGCCCTCAAGCCATCCTTGGTGTTTATGACTTTCTTCTTTCAGACGAATCCAATCGGAGTTATATTAAAAAATGTCCTGGCTCTTCCAAGCTTAATAATGGCAGTGAATGGGTGTTATTTTTCAATAGTCCAAAAGAAGTCCAATGAAGCACATCCACCCATCATAAAAAGTGTCCCACACGGCTCCGGAGCGTTTTTGTAATAAAATTATCCATATTTAAAACTTTATAAACTGTAATCTCTAGCTTCCGCTAACTGACTTTTTGGGTGAACTATCCCTTTAAGTAACAAAAATGTTTATATGTTTTTTTTTTTCTAAAAATGTATTGGAATCAGTTGAAATCAGAAAATTCTGATATTAGAATAGAACTAAATGTTGTTTGAAACAACATCAATGTCTATGGTAACATCCTAAACTGTAAAATGACTGCAAAAACTATAATTTAAACAACTTTACAGGTTGAAAGAGTTTTGGCAAAAATAAAAAAGTTTTATAAATTGATAAACCTCACATCGCGGCCTAATAAATAAAATGTATTTTGTATATAATTTGGTCTTAACTGGTCCGAAAGGTGAAGAGTTTGCAGGTATGCAATCTATTTCTATTTTTTCTATTTATTTAATTTGTTGATTAAAAAAATGAGCGTATTACTCTCCATATAAAGTAACAAATACTTTTTGTAATAAATAATGCACCATTGTAACATGTCATTCCCCAATAACAGTGTTGTAATGTTTAAAAAAACCATTAAAAATAGTTTTCAGTATCTTAAACAGAGTAAAATACAGTGGGTACGGAAAGTATTCAGACCCCCTTCAATTTTTCACTCTTTGTTATATTGCAGCCATTTGCTAAAATCATGTAAGTTAATTTTTTTTCCTCATTAATGTACACACAGCACCCCATATTGACAGAAAAACACAGAATCGTTGACATTTTTGCAAGCAAATGGCTGCAATATAACAGAGTGAAAAATTGAAGGGGGTCTGAATACTTTCCGTACCCACTGTATAAATATTAGATGAAAAACTTGAACTTAAAAACTAAATTAAAAATGTTTGAATGAAAATAAATGAAAGAAAATTTGAATTTTATTTTTTTTAATTACAAAAGCAAAAAAATGTAAATAAATAATAATTAATTTAAAAAAAGTTTTCTTGGCAACTAACTGAAATAAGGTGAAGTTGAAGTTCTGAAATTACTAAAGCCAACACTGAAATAAAAATAAATGAAACGTAAATAAATAAATAAAACAGTCACCACTGATAAGCTACTACTAAATATATTGTAGAAACGTAATTTTCTGTAAAGCTGCTTTGCAACGATTTGTATCGTGAAAAGCACTATACAAATAAACTTGAATTGAATTGAAAACTTGAATTGAATAAAATGACAGAAGTACATAACTAACTGAAATAAGTTCAACAAAAATTACTAAAGCTAAAACTTAAAGAAAAATGAAAGCTAAATAAAAAATAAAACTAATAAAATGACAAACTTCAAAATGATATATGTTGCCTTGGCAACTAACTGAAATAAGTTGAAGTACTAAAATATTATATATAAATATAAAAATATAATACTAAAGAAAACCGAGAAAACAAACAAACACAAACCTGAAATAGAAATAAACGCAAGCTAAATAGAAATAAAAAATAAAATTAGACACTCAAAATATATAAATAGAAGTTCATTCAAAACGTTAATAAATACTATAATAGCACATAAATAATACTATAATAAGACTGCCCACACTCACTCTCTCTCTCTTTCTTCTTCATGCGCTTGCGTCTCCTGTCGATGGAGGCCACCTCCGATTTGAGCAGGAGGTAGTGATTCCTGATGTCCTGCAGTTTCTCCTGAAGGAACGCTATCCGCTCTAGACTGCTCATCTTTTCCAGGTCCGCTGCATGGACAGGAGCAAAAGGCAATCAATGCACACATTCAGTTCTTATTAAAAAGACAAGCAGCTGAGAATCTGAGGCACTCACACATCTGGAAGCTCCACTTGGTCCGGTCGTGGGAGTGATCCGGGTCAGCGTGTTTGTGGTACTTGTGGCCTGAGGGGGGCATCCGGCCGGAGCACTTGTGCGGGATGGCTGACTTCAGCTCGCTGCTGCTCTTGGATGTGGGGGATTTGGCAGTGCTCTCGCTCATACACTGGTCCTCACTGTCACTGCTGTGGGCTGCAGCGCCACCAAGAGGAGAGAAGAGGCAAACACTGATCAACACCAACACAAAACCTCTTAGCTGAAAGCTTACATGGTGCATTAAACATTTTACATTTGCCTTTATAATCACATAAAATTCTATTAAATAATAATAATAAAAACAATTATGCCTGAGTTTGATTTAAATAACAAGTCTTCAGTTTTAGTATGTGTGAAAGCAAAGCACTTACGCAGGGCTTTCCCAAACTGGGCTTTGTGCTAATAATAATTCATAATTAAAGCTAAGAAGTAGTAATGAATTAATAATTAAACTAATAATTAATTTTACATTGCATGTTGAACTTAAATAGTTTTAATAATTTGATTAAAACGTAATAATAATTAATAAACTAATGATAACATTTTAAATAATATATTTAATATTTTATAATAATTACATTATAATAATTTATTAACATTTTATAAATAAAACAAATTTAGAAATAAAAAAATAGGTCAAATATTTTATTTTATTTGTTAAATTATTAAAATAATAAATTAAAACATTAGGTGCTACTTAAAGTAAATATTTTGTCAAACTCAAAGGACTTCCTTCAGTTTTCAGAAACCAGACTTTCTACCAATGCAGTGAAAGTGGAAAAACTGCAGATTATATTATTATTGTATAAAAAAAAAATCATATCAATTAGGGCTGCACGATCTTTGAAAATGGAATCGAGATCGCGATTCGACAGAAGCTGCGATTAATAATAATAATAATAATAATAATAATAACAACAACAACAATAAATAATTGCTACTACTACTGAATAAAAACATACAAATTAGAAAATAGGAATTATTATTAATATTTTATCATTAATATTATTAAAATAGGAAATATTATAGTAGCATTTCACTGCATAATTAAGAAAATAAAACTGTATTTAGAAAAAAAAATTACAACTGTAAAATTAAGTTTTTCTCAACTTCATCTTTAAACATTACACCATCAAACTTTTATTTTGACAGAAAACCACAGGGAGCCCTTAAACCTTCTCTGTTGATAAGCGCTTCTTCATTACAAGTATGGGAAGATGGTTGGAGCATGTTGCGTTCTCAAATAATCATGCAACCCTAATTACAATAATCTAACCATAAAACAGTGTGAGAGAGAAGTGTGCTGAGAGTTCACATTCATGTTCAGATACAATGTGAACGCAAAGAGAACTAGACTCTTACTTCACAAAGTTTATAACTGGGTCAACTGAAAGTGGCTTGAGAGGACTTAAAGAGCCGAGCGTTTGCGATCACGTGAACTTGAAGACACTTGTACAAATGTGGATGGGTGACATGAATGGAAATTATTCCAGATTGGCGATGTAGTATTTGGTTTCTTTATTCTGTACTGTATTTTCCAGCGCTCAAACCTGCCAATCTAACGGATCAAACGCCGTGTATGGCATTTGAGGTAATTTGTGAATTAGCATAGACTTATAGTCTAAATAAAACAATTTGCAACTGTTACTATTATTATACTTGTATACAAAACTTTGTATTATACTTGTTATAGAGTGTGTGACGTCACGTGCACTACCGCCGGTGGCACGGCGACTGTCACAGCCGTTTCCTGACATCCAGACTGAACAGCGTTTTCTTGACATGTTTCCGTGTTGTTGTTGCTCAGCAATGGCATGGACGCGATGTTGTCTGGGGGTTTGGCAAAAGGAGAGTGGGACTGTGGGCAGTGCTCGGGGTGGTG